GAAAGCAAAGCAAAAGGTCATAATCAAAAAATAAACATGTAGAGAAGAAAAAAAAAGCAAAAGATGGACGAACGAGACCCAACACGACACGCTTTGCTTTCCTAGTAGGCAAAAGTACGCCCGTAGGGTTATTACTTATATTACGCCTTACGCCGCACCTTTAAATTAGGGCAAAAAGGTGGCGCGCTTGGTCGGGTTGCCCCCTCCAACAAGGCACATTCCGGTGAAGTGATGCAGCACGATGATGGCCCCTCTCTCAAGAAACCTACGTAGGCCACGAGGAAATGAAAGCCACGTAAGCATGCATGGGGCAGGGGGAGTCATCGACGTGGAGTGTGCTTGTTCGGATATTCGGCGGAGAACTGGCCGCGGCCAGCCGTCGTCAATCGCCGGAACTACGTACCGAGAAAGCGGCCTGCGGGAAGGAACTAGATCTCTCTTGCGGGTAGAAATGAAGAGAAGAAACGAGAGAAGTTCCCGTCCGTTTTCAGCATCTCTCTCCGACGACATATATGTCCCTTCGGATTTCCTTTTCTCTCACGGAAGCGGAACCCTAGCAAATCAATGGGTTTGAGATATTTTGAATTCCTACTTAAAAGTTAAAACAAAAGATGAGAAGGAAAGCAAAAAGTTATACATTAATTGTATGGTTGGTCATTGAGATTACAAAAAACGTTCAAATTTGGTCACTCGAAATATTTAAATCCATTGGTGGTACTTCAATTTACTGAAACCGTTCACGTTTGGTCACTCTCCATCCAATTTCGTTAAGTTTGACTGATGTGACAGTTAACTCTCAGAGTTGACCGTTAACTTAGTGATATGACAACTAAAAAATTATTAAAAATAAAAAATAAAAACTTTTATATTTTCCACCTCATCATTACATTCACTAAAAAATTAAAAATCTAATTTCTTTTCTTGACCTCATGGTATGACAGGCAGACTGGTGCCTCCTATGGAAACGACGATGCGGCAGCGCTAACGATTGGGCACCGGGAAGCACCTTCCCGCCTGCTCCTACTTGTATCCCGGAGGAGACGGTGGCTTCTACAAGGAATCCGGCGAGACCAACCGTTTGGAGGGAGCTTAAAAGACAATCTGCTTGTTTCTCGTCCAAAAGAACATGATGTTTCCTGCCTGACTCTTCGACTACCTCCAGTCTGAATAACTCCCCACCTCTTGCGCTTAAAGTATCCAAGACACAAACAAATCATCCCGTAGACTCTCAGAAAAATTAAATTAGAGCAAAAAAAGGGGGGAAAACAAGAAGGCAGATACGGACCGTAAGAAGCAGCCATCAAAGACCGACGCGAGCACCGTTGGCCCGGGATCAGTTGCGAATCTGGGAAGAAGCGTTGAGCAAACAATGGTGGGTTGGGGGCAATTGAGTCAGTGAAGAAATCGTCGCCGCCAGAAGTGCAAGAACCCAGCCGCCATACCACTCTTCTCCAGATCGAATCAACGACGACCTCAAGCTTTTCTCCCGACCGCTTTTCTCCTCCCCGCCGCTACGCTCATCCGCCGCACAAGCCTTCACCAGATCGAATTGACGGCGGGCCTCAAACTCTTCTCTCGACCGCTTTTCTCCTCCCCGCCGCTGCGCTCACTCCACCGCACAAGACTTCTCCAGATTGAATCGACGGCGGCCTCTTGCTCTCCTCCCGGCCGCTCCTCCTCTCCGAGATCAAAGGTTTCCCTGGTCGTCACACTAGCTCTCTTCCTTGCGACCACTCCTCGTCTCTCTTCCTCGCGACACCTTCTCGTATCTCTTCCTCCCCTGCAGAAACTAGAAGCGGAAGAACTCCCCTGAAGAATAATTGAGGAATGACGTTGTCGAATGATATGTTTCACTGGTTCTCCATCTTCTTCCCTTTCTTCTGCACATCACAGATCTATTATATTTCACTGTTTCTCCATCTTATCTCCTTTCTTCTTTGCAGCCGGAGAGGGAGAAAGAGAGAGCGTTGTCGGAGAGAGGTGAGAGGCGACAGCCGGAGATGCGGTCGCTGAAACGTTTACCGAGGCTCTGCGTCAAAGAGGGGTTGAGAGAAGAAGATGGAGAGATGGGATCCAACTTCAGAGTTGGGTTTATTTTATTTTTGTTATTTTCTATTAAAATGCTTAATAATAATCTGATGTGGCAGGTTTAATGACATGGCGGGTCGGTTTTTATGATGTGGCGGGTTAAAATGAGGTGAATCAGCATTTCTGTTAGCCACGTCAGCAAATAACTGACGGAGACTAACGGAGAGTGACCAAATTTGGACTGTTTTATTAAATTTAGTGACCACGAATGGAATTAAATATTTTTAGTGACCAAACATGAACGTTTTTAGTAATCATAGTGACCAAACTTGCAATTAACCCCATATATATGTTGAAGGAAAAAGACTGGACTCCAACACAACTAGAGGTGACAATTCTCAATCCAATCCACCAATCCTTTAAAAATATCCACCTAATCCAATTCATTTAAATCCAATCCATTTGATCCAAATCCAATTGGATTGGTGGATTCATTGATTGATCCATGGATCCAAATCCAATTGGATTGGTGGATTCATGGATTGATCCATGGATCCAAATGCCAAATTACGATTTGGTACCTATACTTTTTATATTTTACATTTTGGTACCCAAAATTTAATTTTTATACGAAAAATATCATTGGAAAATTACATTTTGGTACCTAAAATTTTCATTATGACAATTTACTACCTAAACTTTTTACATTTTACATATTGGTCCTTGGTTGAGGATGTCATTTGGATTCATGGATAATCCACCAATCCACTTGATCAATCCATGAATCCACCAATCCAATCCACGAATACATGGATCAATCCATTTGCCACCTCTAAACACAACGCAATGCAACTGACAACACCCTTTTATTACCGTACCTTTAATTAATTGTCTGTTTGGCGACGCAAAGGGTTGCATGCGATCAGTTTCCCCTCGAACAAGGCACATTCCTTTGATGGAGGGGGAGACAAGTAGGACCGCAAATGAGCCACGCCGCTCACAAGCTGCTTGGCGTTTGACTCGGGAAATACTCGTTCGATAGTAAATGAGAGAGGTCAAGTTAGACTTTGTTCGCATTGCATGGATCCTCTACCATCTCAATTTGGTGGCTTGTTGAGCTTATATTGTTAGTTATCTCGTTTTGAGCTGAGCTAACTAGACAATATGACTAGCTAGCTAACTAACCATCTCAGCTAGCAACTTATCAATGACTCGGTTAATAGTCCATCATTGACTTGTTGATGATTCATAGGTTTGTTAGATTATATATCTCACCGTATATGATGTTCAAGAATTTGAGCATGTGACCAAACATGTCTCATTCATAATTTTAAAAGAAATTATATATAATAGATTGCTCATAGAATAATTAAAAATTATGAATTAAATGTGATGATACCTTAGATCAAGTCGATCTCGTCACTGATTGTAATTGATGAGCCGGGCTTGAGTAAAGCTTGTGAGCTCATCAATGAGTTGGGCTCGATCCAAACTCGACTGATTCATTAACGAGCCGAACTGGATAAAAATTCAACTTGAGTAAGTTCATTTGCAGCACTAGAGGCATGCCCTTCCAAAAGAAGCAGTTGGGCTGCAAGGGAACTATGCATGTATGGGCGTTCAAATGGAGTGATTTTTGTGATAACCATTTTATCTGGTAGTATTCGAGTATTTAGTTTGGTTAATTTGGATAATTTATTTGGTTTGGTAAAACTTTGTATCTTGTTTGGTTTAGATTGTTTGATTTTGGTGTCAGCCACTCCTAACCAATCAAACCAATTGACTAATAAAAATTCAGCTTGTGATTGGTAGTCTTCACAATCAGTGAAGAAAAACATTATAAAAATTAAAATTTGTGATTGATAGCTTTACCAGTCAGTGAATTATAACATTAAAAAAATCGACAAAAAATCTTTGATTGATAGCCTTCAAAATTCGTGAATAATAGCTTTAAAATAATGTCAAAATCTGTGATGCCTGAATAGCTTCAAAATTGGTGAAGAATAATCTTCAAAAATTCGGCAAAATCTGTAATGAAATAACCTTCAAAAGAAGTGATTAGAATGAGTGAATAATGGCTTTCCAGCGGACTTAGCAAGTATAATACCGGCAAAACGATCTTTTATTACCTCCGGTTGACCAAGGACGAGTATCTCTTTATTTTTATTTTTTTGTGATGGATATCCTGAAAAGAACAATAGATACAGTGAAAAAAAAATATTTTTGGGTTGAATTCCCAAATTGAAAAGAAAGGATGATGGTCGATAAAAAGTCATCGATAATAGATTTTTTTTTTGGGTTATAGGTATAATATGCCCCTACGTTTTATCAAACATGCCCCTCTATTATTTTTTATATCTAACATGCCCCTATACTTTGAAACAATTATCAAATATGCCCTTCTGTTAAAATTCCTTTGAAAAAATCGTCAATCATGGTTGAACCGAGATTTAGACGAACCGACATCGGCAAATGGGAGCGAAAATGTCAGTTTTGTCTCCCGTTTTATTTCTCTGGGTCTATTCAAAGTGAAATTATTCGAATTATTTGGCTATACAAAAGAACTAAAAAAATTCTAAAAGTGAAATTATTAGGAATATTTTAGACATTTGTGCCGTCCAAACCAAAGTTCGACCTTGGTTAACGTTTTTTGGATGAAATTTTAAATAAAAGGGTATGTTTGATCATTTTTACAAAGTACAGGGGTATGTTTGATATAAAAAATAGTAGAAGGACATGTTTAATAAAACGTCATGGTAGAGGGGCATATTATACCTATAATTTTTTTTTCTACAATGTAAATAAAATTTTGATACGTTATAGATGAGTTCATAACTTAATTTACATCCTTTGCACGGTACAAGTACAAGCACTGAGCCCTGTATGCAAAATGGAAGCAGTTCAACGTACCGCTGCAAATCTACGAGAAAAAAATAACACCCATATATGGAACATAATCACATAAAGACAATTGAAACCAATAAAATTTATACAAATGCCATGGCTTTGGGATAATCAGGGTTGTGGCTGGGGCTACAACCAATTTTGTGCTATAAGTTTCACCTGTTAAACGAATCAAAACATAGTCTCAGGCTCTCAGCTATGCATGTCCAAGGAGCTAGGGAAAAAGACGAAGCAGGCCTACGAGGCTTCATATAAGATCGAACACCGCATCACAAAGTCATCTGATAACCGAGATCGATCTAGCTAGTTTGACTATCACACAACTTGTCAACTCATTACAAGCAACTGAGTTAAGAAGCTCAATCAGTAGTGAAGATAACTCATATGAAGCTTTGTCTGTAAAGCAACAAAAAAGAGAAGATCAGGCATCCGGAACCAAGAAGATTTCTGGAAATATGCGGAAAGAAAAGGTGGAACGGACATAAAAAAAAATGCTAGATCACTAATGCTCTCATCAAAGTGAAATTGCCCCAAGTCATGAACCGGGAAGATGCAACAACCAGTGTCATGAACCCAAAATGGAACCAACCAATACAGTGTGGGTAAAGCAGTCCAAGCAGTACAAAGGAGGATGCGGGCAACAATCAGCATAACAGCATGATCATTTGCTCGCCTCTGCCATCCTCTTGCGTATTTCATGAGCAGTGTTGAAAATACCCAGAGTCGGCTTGTTGCAGACGAAGCATTTCTTGTTCTTGGAATGATGCTGCAAGACAATAAACAGAAGAAAACACGAAACTGAATGTTATCCACGTGATAGAAATTGCAAGGAAAACATATATCTTCGCGACATAATTTATGTTCACGATTCAAAATTTCAAGAGATGACTAGGTGAGTACCTTTAGAGCACAATGTTCACAGAAGTAATGCTTGCATTTGGTCACAACAGGATCTTCAAAAGGCTCCCTACAAATGAAACATGCAAATGGCAACGCATCATCATCGTCGTCATCATCGTCGTCATCATTAGCTTCATCAAATTCGCCATCCTCCTTGGCCAAGGCACCCAAAGCTAATTTTCTCTTCCTTGCCTTCTCTGCCTCGTCCCACTCCTTCTCCATCTGCCATCCAGACTTGTAATCGCCTCGATCGTGCATAAACTTGCAAGAATCTCCATAACCACAGTAACCAGTTTCTTTGTAATCTTTACATATATCCGGCTGATAGTCGAATCTTGCCGAGACTCTGATGTGTGCAGATGCCCTAAGTGGTCCATGCGATCCACCAGCTTTCTCACTTGCAATTGTTAGCTCTCTTCTAAAGCCAGCTTTGTGATCTGTATATCCATGAATTCCCTTGTACAGCTTCTCGTTGCTACCTGAAGAACCCTGTTTGTTACTCTTCAGATCCTCCCCAGCTTGCTTAAGAGCTCTCTCGCGTATTGCCCGGGCATCTCTTCCGAAGTCTGTCTCGGTTTCCAGAGTTGCCGTTGCCCTGCTGTCATTTTGTACCTGAATTACCTTTGAAGACTCAAACTGAAAGATGGGCTTCTCATTGTTGTCTGAGTTGGATTCTGATGGCTTTGAGCTCTTCGAAGGTCCTGACGAGAAGTATAGCTTGTTATCAGCCTTTGGCGCCTTCTTCTGATTGCTTAAGAAAGAGCTTTCGGTTTTTGAATCCTCGGCATTATCATCTTCTACTGCTCTCTTCCTGATGTTCTTGCTCTTAGTTGGCTTTCTGAAAAAGTTGCATACTGCAGAATGCGGAGAAGATGTTAAGAACCCAAGAAAGAGTGAACAACGCAAATTAAAGCAGAAACTATGGTTGAAGACAAAGCATCAATACCTTGTTCAGGCTGTTGAGATTCTCCTGAATCTGTCATATTTGGATGAACGGAGCAAAGAGATCAGGGCTTCACCAAAAATTGTCCTCTGCAAAACATCATTACGATTTCAGCCACTAAGCACAATTATAACTAGGGCTGGCATTTCGGTTAGTTCGGTTATAACCGATAACCGAAATGCCAGTTACCGGTTAACCGCGCCAAGGAGGATCCTTACCGCCAACCGACCGAACCAAACCTTCGGTTAACCGGCAACTGACCGGTCGGTTACCGGTTAGTTGCCCGGTTAACCGAAGCAACCGCAACGTGAGATACAGACACTTCTAACTGACTAACCGAACCGACTAACCGAACCGACCAGGGCACTTGTAACTTCAAAATCGATACAAATTGACTAAAATGAAACGTTCAGCCTTACATTTCTACATCTAAATCACTCCACAAGTCAAGTTGGGATCTTTTTGTTTATGTGGACAAACAACAGTTAGCAAAGCATAAATATAGAGAATAAAAGGAAAGTCAAGTTGTAGGATTTAGTTAAATTTAATGCATTACGTACTCTAAACTAACTATATGCTTCATTCATGCCCCAACCCAGAATTGTGGAACTCCTTACAGCAGCTGAAATTCCCAGAACATAATGAAAGAACCCAACGACGATTATATCACCAAGCAAAATCCTTACATCTTTGGCAAAACAAAGCTCACTCAGCAGCTTTGTTTATTTTGCTTGCAACTAATCTCACTTCCCACCCTAATCTAACAACATAAACAGAAGACATTACAAACACAGCAAGCTATTTTATTTCAAAATCCATAGAAATCGAAAACCATGCACATTACTACATTGAAGAAAGAGAGGAGGTTGACCATGTATGTAGTACCTAATTGATAGAGTGAAACAAGCACCAATTAAGCACCTCTGTTCAAAACGTTTTATATTCTCAAATCTCAATAACAACGGAAGCAAAACAGCAACAGCAGCTTATATCACTACCAAAACTTGAAGTAATGGGAATTGGAAACAGAAGGGTGCAAGCAGAACAAACAATCAATCAAAGACTCAATCAAAGCCTCCAACTCCAAGTAGAACCAACTAACGAGAAGCAAGGCTACGGGCAGAACAATCCTCCAAAATCAAAACCAAAAAAAAAAAAAAAAACAGAAAATGGAAGATAATCGATTAATTGCTGAACTTGGAGTGGGAGGTCTCAGTTCTCACATCAGATTGTCGTCGACTCCTTGGAATGGCGGCGACTGGCGTCAATGAGGCGGGAATGAGATGGTGGCGTGACTGGAGTCGGCGGCAGGGAGAGAGTGAGGGAGAGGAGGGAGTTGGTCGGCGACGGCAGGGGCAGCCGTGGGGCAGGCCGGCAGGGAGACTGGGAGAGAGTGAGAGGGCCGGAGTGAGGGAGAGGGCCGGCGGCAGGGAGAGGCGCGGCGGCGGCAGGGCCAGGGAGAGGCGCGGCGGCGACTGGAATCGCGAGGGTGGACTGAAAATCGAAAAATGGAGTCTGGTCTCTGGATCGCGTTCGCGATTAGGGATTTAGGGGGGGTGATTTCGACGGCGTCGTTCTAGACTTCTAGGGGGCAGGGGGTTCTCGCCGGTTAGTCGGTTTAACCGGCGGTTATGTGCCGCGGTTACCGGTTAACCGGCCTCCTCAACCAGGTTACCGCCAACCGCCCGCGACGTCGTTTTTTCGGTTATCGGTTAACCGGTAACCGTCGGTTATTGGTTTAACCGGCAACCGATAACCGAATGGCCAGCCCTAATTATAACACTACCCACCGATACTAAAGCACAAGTCTGTCTATACCAAAAATCTCAACATGGAACACCCCAGAAAGGCAGAAACCCTGTCAACAGCTTAATCAACATGGAAAGTATGATTCCCTCTCTCTGAGAACACTTCCAATGGAGAGAAGAGAAATTCAGCTAGAAACTTGCATTACATAGGCAGGCCGATTGCAAGGGGTAAAACACTGATAACTAGGGCAAAATTCAGAAAGCAGATATTGAATTCACAGAATGAAAGAAGCGAAACCAAAGCTGTCAAGCAATGAACAACAAACCTTGCAATCGCAAACCAGTACGAGTCTCGTCTTCTTCTTCCACTTGCCAGCAATCAAACTTACGCCTCCATCAACAAAACTAGCTAGATAGGAAAGAAGCTCGGCCTTATCTGTCGATTCAACAAACGCTTACAAGAAGATCGTGTCAGTTTTCAGTTCCCCTAGTCGAATTTCTTCAAGCTCAAGCGACAAGAAAGGACGAATTAGGGACAGAAAAAGAACTTCCGACTACGCTCTCTGGCCGCCCTCGCACGCTGCCGCGACTCCCGTCTCAGTCCCGCCTCCTCCTCTGCCTTGCTTCCCCGCGTCTCCTTCGCCTGAAGCGCCTCCTTGCCGCTAGAGTTCGAGCTTCGATTGCCGGCGGCGAGCTAGTCCGACGCTTCTCTCTCTGTTAACGGGGATCGGGAATTTTGCCCTCCTGTCCTCGAGAGATGGTAGCGGTTCATCTTCCGGCCGACTGGTTCAATAAAAGCTTTCTAATTTCCTTTTTCTTCCCCAGATTCGCGTTTCTTATTAACCGAACCAACTTCAATCTCGGTTCGAAACGTCTCCAAGAGACAGAACGACGTCGCCGCTAAAGCTGCTTTTTATGAACCTAACGGCCCGGCCCGGCCCAACTTATGACTTGAACGATTTGGGCCACTTCGGCCTTTCCAAACAAGCTTCCTTCTTTCGTTCCCTTCTTCTTCTCCTCTCAACACGACACTCTGTTTCGACCTTCGAGAGAATAATGGGATCATACCAATTGGATCGTGGCAGCCCAAGACGACTCTCGAACATAGATCTCGATTAGTAGGCCCACCCAGGGGCAGAGCTACACATAGGCTCGGGGCCCGGCTCCCCGAGAATTTTAGAAGTTACATATTTGGAAATTTCGTATAAATTTATGCTTTGTATAAAATTGTTCTGGTCGCAATAATGGCACACGAAGGTGAGCTATCGCAGCGGCGGGGAACTTGCTTTTACATTCATCAAGTTAGGAGTTCCAAACCCATTAAATGCACATATTTACTTTTCAATATTTATTCTCAATAATTGATAGATATTTTTTAAATTAAAATTTTATATGAATTAAAATTGATGTTATGAAAATATTACAAAATATAATTTTTTTTCTTTTTTGCTTAATTTTATTGTTTTTTCGCAGTAACAAATAACCCCTTCGGAACATTACATTATGTCTTCGTTCCTCACTCAAAAATGAAATTGCATTTTATGCACTTACAATTACAATTGGTAAATCAATAATAATTTTAGAATCATATAAACTAATGGATTCATAAATAAAACTTATGGGTATGATATATTCACTTTTGTGAGTTTGTCTACACGAAATAAGTTGTAAATATTTTGATTAACTCTAATCATCTGAAAATGCCAGTTATAATAATAGCAAAAAAATGTTTTTATAATTTTATCCGTTTTTCGAAGTAGTAGAATAAAAAAATTCGGTTCCCCGAATGTCAAATCCTGGCTCCGCCCCTGGGCCCACCGTAGGGCTCTTGGGCCCATTGTGATATTAGTAATATGAGATTCGTCCTTAATTGATCTTTATTGACATCTTCACGCAACTGTCACTAGGGGTGAACAAACACACCCGCAAACCGACCCACCCGTCCAACCCGACCCAATCCACCCGTATGTTTCGCTAAAACAAAGGTTTTGGGTTGGAAGAGGGTTTTATTTTGTACAACCCGCCTATTTTGGATTGGGTTTGAATTTTGGATTACACAACCCATAGAACCCAACCCAACCCGTGCTTCAACTATTGGTATGAGTTCGTATCCAAAAAATATTAACGTCGTATATAGTCATACTTATGAGAAAATTAAGATATTTCGTCTTGTTTTTCTCTCATGGTCTCACTAATCTAATGCATTCTTCGACTTAAAGTTTAGACATAAGATTTAATATAGTAATGATTCACGTGATATTTTGTCATGTTTTTCTCTCATGGTCTCACTAATCAATTTTAATATAATAACATATTATGGATGCGTTCGTTTATAACTTTTTTAGCCTATTTCAACTAATGTCGTGAAAAAACTAGGCATATGTTGAAATAAATCATATTTTATTTAAATTCAAACAACATATGTGAATTTTGATACCTTTCACCTTGGTTTATTCGTTTGAAATTTTAATTAGTTATAAAATATTTTTATGGTGTAAAATAATTACATATTTTGGGTTGTGTTGGGTTTTTACTTAAAAATATCGCCTACCCAACCCAACCCAATTAGAAACAAACCGTATGGTTTAATTTTTTTGAGTGGGGATGAATTTAATATTTCTCAATCCGTAATGCATGATTCGGCTGATTAAAATGGCTAAATTCGAATCACATGACCCATTTACACCCTAACTGCCACATGTTTGATGCTTTTTTTTATTTTATAAATGGATGCAATGCATCTCATCCTTCATTCAAAACCAAACGGGGTTCAGAGAGCCCCTGACAATCGTACATAATGAAATTACACAAAGTAGGGTCAGAACAAGGGATGGAGTTGTAACCAAGGGGCAACAAGTGCCCACGACTAGCAAGATGATCGACACACTTATTTCCTTCTCTAAAAATGTGGGAAACAACAACTTCCCATTGATGAGTAAGCAGCTCTTTAAATCTCTGGATAATGGCTGCCTGCTGGTGATCTGGCGAGTCCAAGCTACTGAGGAGTTGAACCGCACAGAGAGAATCAAGCTCCACTCTGACACGTCTGAAACCTGTGTCCCAAGCCAGCTGCAGCCCCTCTACAACGCCTCTCAACTCAGCCCGGGTGATAGAGCAGCTCCCCCGGTTAATCGCATAGCTGCAAGGCAGCGTCCTGTGTGATCTCGAATCAGGCCACCCGCAGCTGCATGGCCTGAAGTAATGTGGACTAAGCCGTCGGAGTTGAGAGTGACCCACTCGGGAGGTGGCGCCTTCCAGGAGATCTCCACCTCCGTTCTCATGGGCAGACTAGGTTGATGGATTAACCTGTCTTTGTCCAAGGAATTCCGCACGACATTTATCCATGCCCGGACGCGCTGTATAAAGGCTGCACAGGTCGTGATCTTGCCTGCGAAGACTCGATCATTCCTGGTCTGCCACAGGGACCAGCAGATGATGCCGAACTCAAGGCTAGTGGGTTCCTATCTAACATGGTAAAGAATCCAATCCTGCAAGTGGGATCTGAAAAATCGCTGGTGGTCAGAAGGCTGAATGAACTGCATCCAAGTTAACCTGGAAAACTCACAGTCTCGCAACACATGCAAGACTGTTTCAGTGCTCGCTTTGCACTGGGGGCAGATGTTTGTGGTAGATAGATGTCTTCTGTGTCGTTCAGAGTTAGTGAGGAGTCGCTCCCTTGCATCAAGCCAGAGGAAATGAGTGACTCGAGCTGGCCCTCTCCACCTCCAAATGGAACGCTAGTCAATTGTGTTCCTCGCTTCGCTTCCTTGGCTGATGAGTTGGTATGCTGATTTGACCCGGAACCGCCCGTCCCGCGCCGGTCCCCAGATCGGGGAGTCCTCGACGTACCCTTCTCTCGGCGGTTGAACCCCCAGCACCTGCAAAACAATTTCCTCGGGCAAAAGTGAGCGCAATAGCGGAACATTCCACTCACCGTCGTCTGCAAAGTGGGCCACGGGAAGAGCGGGGTCCAGCGGGGGGTTCGTGTCCAGGGCGTGGTCGATGAGCAGATCGCCCGAGTCCACCCATCTATCCGTCCAAAAACTCGTGCCCCGCCCGTCCCTGATGCTCATTCTCATGCCAAGCGTCATCGCCAGCCACGCCTTTCTGATGCCCCGTCAGAGGTTGGAGGCTCTCGCCATAGACTTTGCCTGCATCCCTCCGTTAACCTGTTTAAAATATTTCGCCTGCAACACTCTAACCCACATCTCATCGGGTTTTTTAACAAAAAACCAAGCAAGTTTCGTTAGAAAAGCAAGGTTTAACTCATGCGCTTTCCTGAGACCCAGACCCCCTCCTCTTTGGGTTTACAGATGCCCTCCCAGTTAACCAAGTGGACCTTCCGGGTTTCGGCTGTGGAACCCCAGATGAAACGCCGGATTCTCTTGTCGATCTCATCACAGATGGCGATAGGTAACAGAGTCGTTTGCATTGCATAGGTGGGCAACGAACTAAGCACTGACGTAGCCAGAGTAACACGCCCCGCCAAGGATAACGATTTAGCCTTCCAACCTGCAAGTTTATTATCCAGACGATCCAAAATATACTGGAAAGTACCTTTGGTGATCCGCCCATGAAGAACCGGGACTCCCAAGTACCGCCCCAGATCTTGTGTTGCAGGGATACTGAGATGTTGGGCAATGGCCGAGCTAGTCGCCTCTTTGTGTTTCCCGAGAAAAACACTGCAGATTTCTCTTTACTTACCTGCTGGCCCGAAGCCTGGCAGAACTGATCCAGGCAATCCATAATGACCTCACCCTGCGCTAGACTCGCTTCTGCAAACAGAATTAAATCATCAGCAAAGAAAAGGTGAGAGAGAGGAGGACCACCTGGGTTTAGTCTGATCGGCTTCCATCTCCCCTCTTTCACAGCCTGCTCGATGATATGACTTAACCTCTCCATGCATAATGTGAACAGATATGGTGAGAGAGGGCAACCCTGTCTCAGCCCTCTGGACGGGGAGAACGGCTCTGTACATTCCCCATTCCATAGAACCTGGAGAGTCGAGGATGAGACACACTGCATAATCACTGTAACCAGCTTCTCCGGGAATCCCGCCTCCTTGAGAGTATCTAGGAGGAAGTCCCAGCTAAGACGGTCATAAGCCTTGGCCAAGTCAATCTTTAGCACCATCTGGCCTTTTTTACCTTTCTTTAACCCCATCGAGTGAATGACTTCCTGGACAATGATGATGTTCCCAGAGATATGCCTTCCCGGGATGAAGCTAGTTTGGGTGGGGTGGACCAGATGCTCCATCCACGGTTTAATCCTGTTCACAATGCACTTAGCCAGCGATTTGTAAACTACATTGCATAGACCAATCGAGCGGAATAACTTGATCGAATCCGGGCTCTCTTTCTTTGGGATCAGGACTAGAAGAGTGTCATTCACCTGGCAGATATTTTGAGGATGCTCAAAACATTCCATCACAAAGCTTGCGAAGGATCCCCGAACCATGCCCCAACACTTTTGGAAAAATATCGGGGGGTAGCCATCCTTTCCCGGGGCCTTGAGACCCCCCATACTCCGCACTGCCCCCCAAATCTCCTCTACCGACAGCCTCCCCTCGAGTCTGACTGCAGCTGCCTCTGGAATCCGCTCGAAGTGTGCCACCAGCGTTGGGGATTGCCCCGCTTTTGCCGAGAAAAGGCTTTCGTAAAACCCTCGGACATGGTTCTTGAGGGCCGAAGCATCAAGGATCCAGCTCCCCTCTTCATCCCGGAGGGCCACTATCCGGTTGAATTTTCTCCTTTTGACCGTTTCCAAGTGGTAATAATGTGTATTCCGATCCCCCTTAACAATCCAAGTCTCTCTGGACTTTTGGAGCCACAAAAGCTGCTCCTGCCATAGTACCTCATTAAACTCCGCCCGGACCTGATCCTCCTCGGCGAGAGAGTCTCGGCTTCCTCCGCGATCATTTATTAGTTCAAGTCTCTGGAGCTTGCCTAGGAGTTTCTTCTTCCGTTTAAAAATGTGGCCAAACACCTCACGGTTCCATTCTTTCAAATCCTCGGTTAAAGCATCGAGCTTTTTCGAAAGCCCTTCCTTCTTCACCCAAGCCTCCGCCAGTGCCCGTGGGAAGTCTTCATGGCTCATCCAAGCTGCCAAGAATCTGTAGGGGCGGGTCCCTTGTCTCCTCTGAGTAGATCCAGGGCATGCCATGATCGGTCTGTGATCCGATCCAAAACGC